CAACTCCTCCTCTAGAGAGTTTCAGAGGATAATCGTGTTTACCTGCAGTAGAACAGCTAGATTCAAGTCCAGTGGCACCTGAGAGACCAGCAAGATTTTCGGGGTATGAGATTGAGAGCTGATGCTCCCTTCATCAGATACCAACGAAGGCCTTGACTCTCAAACGCTCATACGCCCCAAACCTTGTCTCTAAGGTGCTACTGGACTCTAATCTAGCTGTACCTACATCACAGTTTTGTGTTGCAGACTACAAGAAATATATTCTTCAGTCCCACCATTGAGGCCTTGTGATTGCTAGGTGGATTCATCTTTCCTTTCCCTCTTCCACGCTCTTTCTCTATTGTTTCTGTCCCTCCCCTTCTTATCTTTACGAAAACAAACAAAACCAGCCCTGTGCCTCCTTGGAACTTGTTAAATCGCTGCAAACAGGACTGACTGAACTTGAGAACCCGCCAGCCTGAAACAGCTTCATAATGCTACCTGGCAGGGGGGTTGTCCCCTCCAGAAAGCGCGGGGGGGGCCTTGAGCCTTGCTCCCTCCCCATAGTTTATGCCCTTGCCCTGAAAGGCTTCAGGCAAGTCACTCTCTCTCCTTCAGTCCAAGCCGCTATGTTCACAGGGGCGCTGCATCCTTGTAACGCTTGAAAGCAAACATGCAACAGGGACCCGAAGGCACTGAGCTTTGCCAATGACAGAACTGCAGAGGACTTCAAGCACTGCAAAGAGCCTCCCATAGCAACTCATAGCCCTACAAACGCGTAAAATCGTGAGTCCTCCCCTCCCTTTCTGGTGACTTTATAGTAACCTCGAGGAGTGCGTGGATCTGGGCGTGCCCGCGCGTTTTACTACCTTGGTTTACGGAACAATGAGCAGGGAGTTGCGAGGGGAGGGGTTAGAGTCTGTGTGTCTCTCTGACTGGCAGAGGGAGCTGGAAGCAGTCGGGAGGTAGCCCGGAATCGGATCCAGCGAGTCTGTAAGCGGGAGCTTCCTCGCTTCGCACCTGCGATGTGCGCCAGGGCTGGCCGGACAATCCCTGGCGCAGACAGGTGCCGGTCGCCAAGCTCCCTGCCGCTGGCAGATTGACTGCCCGCACCGGAGGAGCGGCTCGCCGCCGCTTTGCAGCGCTGGGGGGACGCGGGAGCTGCCTGGCTGCAGCCTGTCCAAAGGCTGTCTCATTTCATAGATGATCATATTCTCTCCCCCCCCTTCTTTCCCCTCGGAGGCTGGTTCAGTTGCTCATGACGTGCCTCCCTCGCTGAGCTCGCAGCCCTCCCGCTTCCCAGCTCCCTCATTCCTGCCTCCCGCTGCAGCTGCCTTGCATTATTTCGCCTTTCCCCCTTCCCTCCTCCCCTACCCGCCACTTTCCCGCGCCA